TACTGGACGTTACTACTGTTGTTTGTTTGGTTCACATTAATAAGGGTCTGAACAAAAGAGGGAGTGAAAAAAGGTTCTGTTAAAAAGGGCTCACATTAATAACAGCGACTGTGAAAAGGACGCATATTGAAAAAGATAAGCACTAAGAGGGGAAATAACATTTTCAGTGATGTGAATTATGTTCGATTCGCCTTTTGTTGTGGAATCCTTTCCTAAAACGAACAATATGGTTCAGGGGTGGCATCGAGGCTTTAGCCAACTTATTGGTGCTACTTATCTAAGTATACAGAAATTTACTGATCGTCTAAAAAAATAAAAAAAGTTTAAATGAATTGAAAACTAAACGGTTTAATGGAAGAATCAAGCAACAGTACCTAAAAACAAAGTAGCTGTACTTATCAAACTGGTCGTAGAGGATAATCCAAAACATATAGTTACTAGACTATCTACGAAGAATATCGTTAGCACTGAAAACTTGTTCAAAGTGAAATTCATCGAACATTTCTCAAGCATTTTCGAAACATTCCTACAAATAGACTATACCCTAGCTGTTCGCATTGGAAGTACGAGATAACATGAATAGGGTAATAAAAATAACAATTTGTTACCAAATTCGACGAATTAAAGTACTTGTAGAAAATAGATTGTTCTTTAAACGTTTAGAAAACCACTTTTTTGATTTGTCGATGGGCAGAAGGACAGAAGGCGAATCAAACATAATTCACACCACTAAAAAGTTTATTCCACCTTACAATTCTTGCCTTTAATAATATGTGCTTTTTTGATGGTCACCATTATTAATATACCCCCTTTCGAATGGACGCCTGCTTGTTTCAATCCATTAGTACTTCATAAAACATTTACAAAAGTTTAGTGTTATATATATATATATAACTATATTCGGACTAAGTTATCCAATCATGTTAGAGACGATGCTGGCGTTCAGGTCAATTTTATCAGTCAGTCCACGATGTTATCATCTCATAAGTTCAATGACAATAAGATTAATCGCTATGGACTGTACAGGATATTTGAGATTGTAATATGTTAAATTTATGTTTGAAATAATTTCAATGGTTAAGATTTCGGTAATTTCAATATTTCTTCTAGCAAACTGGTCTGACATTGCTTAGTGTATTAATCAAGATCATATGATTTTCCAAACCAGCTACTTGAATACAAGAGCCAAAAGTGAGTAGGAAGCTTTGGTTGACAAACCGAATCGAGAATATTTTCATAACTCATTTATAAATACAGACACGTGTCCCTCAGAAAGTTTAGTCATACTTTTGAGAGATAGTGTGTACCCATCGACATCCCTCACTCCTAAGTTAGCTAATGGCTGATTTCCCCTACTTAAAAATATGTCTGGCTCTGTAGGTTAAGCTGTAGGAATTCGGTTGGGGGTACGATATTATCGAGTAGTTATTATTACATAAGATACATACAATGAATAGCATAATTATAACTTCCTAGTATGTTGATTGTAGCTAAAATTCTGAAATATCCGATTACCTTTATAAATTAGACAAAGATTTGTGATGAGTTAGCTATTACTGTTAAATTAGCTAGACGTTGAGATTATCTACATCTTCTATGTTAGTCATTCAACACTACATGATTTATTTAAAGTTTTAAATAAGCTGGTAGGTTAGAATTTCATAACATAAATTCCTGAAGACAGCTGAAACTCAAACTAATAGTTTTTGCGAAATCTTTAACGGTGTATCCTTATCCAGTTGATAGATCACATGAGTATGTCTGGAGAAGCTGCCGGTGATTTATAACGATATATCAAGATAGATTTACACATTTTGTGACTAAGCAATTTTTGAGTTTAGTAAGAAATTGTTGGATTCTGCAAAAAACTTGAACAAATGAACCCACGCAATAGTCGTATGCATTGCTTGCTAAAGTTCTCATTTAGTTAGTCAATGTAAGATTTTACTGAAATATGCAATGGGTCAAGCTATTAAATCATTTTAAAAGTGCGATAAAATCAACAAGGTGAATGTTAAGAGTTTGGATAACAATAGAAATGATGATAGTAACATTAAACATCGAGAATGTTGTTTGATGATAAGGAATGAAATAAGGAAGCATAATAGATAAAATAACATTGGGATTTTATATTTAGTTACATAGATGGTATAAACGGATTCACCTGCCCCATTGTGATCGATTATGAGTTGTATCCCAATAGGTCCTTAGTCACTGAGTACGAATATTGTACAAAAACAAAATAGGTCATCTATAACTATCAACGAGACTCAAATCGACAGTCAATGACTTTATAGATTAGTAACACGTCTTGGTTTGTCCACCTTCAGCTTTTTCCCCCTAGTCTCACTCTAGACAAAACTGGGGATCGAGGTAGACACATGTTCAAGACAATTCGATTGATGGAGATTTACAGTTACACAAAACTATTCTTCATCTCTAAATAGTAATCTGCACCTAACCTATTAAACTTTCGAGAGTATTAAGTAGGTATCAGTAACTGGTAAGTGCCCCCAAATGCCCTGGTACGGCCGAGAGTGGGGAGAGTCCGCTCTCCCTCTCGAAATACTCTCACATAGCCATGTGCATATAGCCTCTGCCAGGGAAGTCCTACTCACTACCTTCTCCTGGCATTACTGTTGTTTACGAAATTGAGAGGACGAAAAGTGAATGTCCGGCGCTTTAACCGGGTTGGTGGACAAGGCGAGTCCACCTAGGGGAGTTGGAAAACCCTGATTACAAACCAATGGTGCACATGGGCTCCAGTATCCTGAGGGAACAAATGGCGTACGAATCAATCATTGATCACCAGCTACCATGGGACTGCATCTACTCACGATGCTCCACTGCTTTGTGGACTAGACTTTCAGGTCAAAGGCTCCGGGTGTGGCCCCCTAAGAAAACCACCTGTTTCAGTCTGGGCACCTTGGCAGTATTACAGCCCTCACACAAATCAAATGAGATTTGTAAGGCGCATATTTATTTGGCGCTTCCTTGCAACAATATTTATGTGTTTAAATAAAATAATTTCACCGGGAAAATGCACCAGGGAACTATAAGTCTAATGACTCTTATTTATTTATTTATTTGTTCAATATTCAATTATGAGTTGAGTGGCGCAATATTTAAAGTTTATGCCCCATTGGTATATATTGTAAAACGAACAGTATATGCTAGGCGTTTTTCTAGGTAACGATTTACCTCCATGTTTACTTCGGTTACAAAACTAGGAGAGACATACGAGAGTAGGAAAATATGCAGCAAAAACAACTAAATTGATCCATCGCTGAGTATCAACCAATATCACGTTTGTCTAGCCTTAGATGTTAGTCGAATCCTATTGATCAATCTGCAATGCGGTCACTAGTTTAAGTAGTTGGACATCACACAAATCATTTTTCTTCGGTTGGGCGGTTGAAAAAGGTCGTCAGGGAACTCTGGTCCTATGTAACATGCGGGTTCCCTTTCGCCTATAACACACACCTAAAGTTTTCAAGGAAATGATGCTCCCTGTGGTATCTGAACCCGCGTTAGCCAGATTCACGAACTGAAACTAGCTGCGGCTCAAATGGCTCAGTAATACAGTCTTAGACTATGAAACTGTGACGCGAGTCTGAGTGTCACAAGGAGCATCACTATCCTTAATATTGCATGTATGTCTTGAAAAAAGTGCCAGGCAGTAAGAAACGTGAGTCTGGGTATCCGACAAACTACATCCAACTACTCAACACGCAAACATAATTTCATTAAACGCCATTTATGGTAGGAATCTTGCTTCAAACCCTTATTTAATGAACAGATGGATAGAGAGATAAACATTTTTAGACAATTTTTTTTTCATTATGACTACATTCACATGTATACGACTCACAATAATGATAAGAAAATACTAACTGAGTAGTAATTTTACGTAATAATGCTGTAGTTTTACATTTCAATACAAAAATAATGGCAAACTATTAACCAATTGATTAATAGGATGTACTAATTATAACAAGCAAAGTAATTCTATGTAAACATTGAACACATGTAGTTCGATGGCTCGTATATCATATGGTATTTAATGAGAAAATCGTTAAGATTAACAGTCAATTTTATCATTATCAAGCAGGCGAAAAGGGACAGATGTCAAATTTATGCAAGAACACGAAAACGAAAGAGATTCCAAAAGTTTTAAAAAGTGGGACGAACCAAAGTTCCGTCGTGACCCACATTTTTATCCTCTTTATCTATGGTCAAAGTATGGAAAAATTGTGTACATATTGTTTTAGAGTACCAGACATGTTAGTGTTAAATTTAAGAGCCTTAGCACCCCGCAAAGAACGGATTCATAAACCAAGCAGAAAATTTGGTTAAATACGACAGAACATTTTATTCAGGTTGACTGGTTGTTCTTTGTCGCCGAGGTGATGGTGTTAGATGATATAATAACGAAATTGCTCGATTGTACACCACATGACTGGCTCTATATGAGTAATTAAACTGACCAACACAAACAAATGTGGTAAATTCAAATGGCATGTATTTGTTGGCGACTTTTATTATCAGGCAATTGCAAGAAACGGCACTCCATTTGGATGCAGTGAGTGTGCTGTTTAGAGCTTTTTTAAAGTTATATGTTAGTATTTCGCAGACACAGTCATCTTTGAGCTGTAACTTTACAAAATGTAAATGCGGAAAAATTGCTACAACAGGCTTTATTATACTTTACTTCATGTGTTTATTTATGAATTAGGGAAGACATATGCTTACTAAGTTACGGGTACCATTTAATTAACACGCGAAATGCTTTAGAACGATGTTTAGGCATTCTTATTAAGCTATCTATGAATGATGAAGCTACTTATCCTGATAATCATGATGTCAACACATTCGATAATAATTGACAAACTATGGTTAACGACTTAATACGGAGTATACTTTGTTTTTAATTTTTCATATTAGCTGAACAAACCAAAGGTACATTAACACGTCGGGCAAACAAGAATTTGTAGATTTACCTGCTAACCCAAGCGAACTTTTCACCAGAAGCTAAATAGTTAAGATATTGAGGACTGAAAAGCGAATCTTACCGATTATATCACTGGCTTGAATGTGACAGCTTCTGCTACTAGGAGGAAGATCTTTTCGAAACATTTTAGTAGTTAATTTGTAATATTCTCCAGATTATGAACGAATTAGAAACACCATTGTGTAAGTGACAGCTTGAATGAACCAACGTAACCAACCAACTATCAGCAACGTCTTCAGTTAAATGTACACCGTAACCCTCAAACCTTGCTAAATAGTACACTTAAACCATTTAGTTTCTGAAACCTGTCTTTTAGTAATTAGATGATCACGCCTATTATCGAACGTTATGATTTAATTATAACTTTTGGCGAGGTCTCTCACCCAGGTCCTAAGACTGGAAAGTTTTGGGATCCAGTATGAAATCGTAAAACGGATAAGTGACTTTCTCGGTTATTGGAGAAAAAGGGAATGAGTAAGCGGAACCCTCCCATGGTGTGTATTTCCCCAAAGTACAATCATTGGCCCCCTTCTTCTTTTCTTAATTTAAGTGACTTACCTACTGTAATAAAGTTATCTATTCTGCTTTTTACAGATGACATTAAGCTTTGGAGGCCCATACACATTATGTCAGGTTGAATAGTATTGCAGAATGATTTAAAGTCACTAAGCAAATGGGTTTACAGCCGATTATGTTGAGAGATAATAATAAATAACTGTGATGGCTGGCGTCACAAGTGAAATTGTATTGCCTTAAGTAATGGACTATATAGATCTAGGAGTCATAATAATCAGAGACCTCAGAACTGTGAATAACTGCGAGATTGACGCTGTCAATGGCTTCAGCGTTTTATGAGCTGTTTGTAAGGTTCAAGCAACGGGTAAGAGGAGGATATGATGGAAACACTAAAACGGCGAAAGATCTCGCTAGCGCATCTTGTAAGGACAGACTGAGTTGCCTCAACCTACTTCCGTTATCTTGGGTTACGAGGTGATCTGATATTGACTTACCATATAGTGAACGACAATCTTCGTGTTAATTTCTTATATTCTTCTTCCATCTAGAATTAATCTTCTGAGTGGACGTTCAAGAATAGATCAAGGCCAAGATTAAACGGCTTACGTCTGAAGATCCGTCCCTCGAACCGAGCAGTGAATTTCTGGAATTCCCTACTAGAACACGTAACATCAGCACTATATGTTGATACGTTCAAAGTGACATTGGATCTCCACAGTACTACATGTTGTGAAGATCATAATATGTCTTTTGACTTCATATCTTTATTAATGAAGACTGATTATACCGAAATCGAAGTCAAGTCTGACTGTTTCACGTCAGAAATCACAAGTGGGTATTGTCTTGTGTAACCCCCTAGGAACCTCGGAAATATGGAAAATGTTGGCCCTGCATTCCATAGGTTAGAAACAGAGTGTCATTACTATCGCTGGTGATAAGGATTTCAGCAACTTACTGAGTTACACACAACTACGTTTACAAGAACTTCTTGTGAATGAACTAGTTAGCTAAGTTTGAATATTATATCATCAAGTCAAGCCTTAGTAGTAATACCATCAAACTCACTATTTTAAATACATTTTCACTCACGAAATGTTTGTTGACGAAGAGTTGAGTGGAAAATAATGGAAAAAGATTATTCACTGCGTACACCAACTGGGAGGGCGTACTAAAGATCTAAAAGACAAATTGCAATATATTTTTCCGTTTCCTTAATAGCGAATTTCAGAATATCGTTCAGGTTGTGATTTCTACTGATGTGGCTTCTGTTCCCTTGAATCTCTCACTTCTACAAGTCATCAGTGGCCCTCTTCACTTAGGTTTCCCCTGATGCCATTGGCTGTTGACCTCGACTTTAACAGTGTCTTCTCTATGTTTAATAATTCTCAACTGATTACTGATAGCGAAAACTCTGTAAAAGGACTCAGATTGTCCAGAGAGATGACGTTGTATACCAACTATTTACTCAGCGGTCAAGCCAACAATGCGAATTGAATTTTAGTTGAATAAGAAACAGGAGTTCTTGACTTCATTATTTTTCACCTTCTGAAACCGTAACTGAATTACCAGTTTTATGCGCCTCTTATGTGAAACTCACTCGGATGCTACTGGAGTAGTTTGCATAAAGATTTCGCCGCCGATCAAACACATTCATATAGACGTTGATAGGTGGTAGAAACCTATTAACTACACTCTTTCTCAGTCTGTCGATCTATACCTCCTTTCACCTAACGCCTCAGGGCCTTCGAACATCTATCCACAGTTCATAAACGACCTGATATATTGAAATGATCTTCATGTTTGGAGAAAGTACCAGATTCCATCGATCATTTGACTTTTCACGGATTCTTCTATGCGACACAGGGGCTGAATCTACAGAGGCTCCTCTCCCGTAAGTAAATAAAAATGGTAGCGTTGTATACTATTGTGTTGTTAGAGACGATTTTACAATGAGGCAAATGATTTGAAGTTATTTTTCTACTACTTTATACATATAGATTGCATTTTTGTTAAATATTTCGGTTTCATCATTTTCTTATCACCCTAATTCTAAGCTTTTACTTGAACCTTGTACTGGTAAACATTGGTTCGGGGCAAGCCAGTAATGGACCAACCATCGGGCATAAAGTATAAGTCTTCACAGTCCTTGCTGTGTATTAGTTGCTTAAGGTCGTCTACGATTTTCAGTTTGTTGTAGAATTTTGTATGCTGTTCAACACTGATTTCGTAATAACCTCAGTTGATTTATATAAGTTAGAGAAGTGTTTCTGATCTCTTATGGTCTTCTCGTTTACTCGTTATGTGAAGTGTCATCTTGATGGGTACATCAACCAGACGTTTTAACATACTTGTTAGTAGAGAATGTGGAATTCACTTCCCTGATTTTCAGATCCCGTTCCAGTTCCATGTTGGAAAGGAGAAGATGCTGGTATCTAGTGTTGATCTTGGCAATAGCGATGTCTCAGTCTATCCCAATTTCTTTTTCAAATTCTTAAAGTTAGAGCTTTAGTCGCGTGTTGTGATATCGGATTCTACCTGTTGATCATTCGATAGTAAAGTCGATTCGCGGCTGACAAGTTATTTGTTATAGGTTTGTCAAATCTTTGGAATGTCCCAGTAACTTTTTTTGATGGCAAGAAAAATGAAAGCGTATGAGATGCAAATTTATCATGAGTAAAGTCTTATTCAATTGACCTCTGGTTCTCCTATAATACAGTGGAGATAGATTTATTCTAACCAGTCTATCGTCTTAACAATTCCAGGAATCAGCTTAGTTGAGTTTCCTCGAATATTTTCCAATGGCTTACTTTCTCCTGCTATTCGGTAGTATCCTTATCTGCAGTTAAGGTCGAACGAATGCTATGTATATAGTTGAAAGGGTTTTAGTATCAACATGTCTGTAAACTCTAAATGTTGATCACAAATGCCTAGAGCCTCTGGCGGGTATCTCACGGCAATGTGTTGTAGTTCTTAGGTCTTGTGTGACGACGAATTTCAAATCATTGTGTATGGCGACAGGACGCCCGAAGTTACTCCTTGTGTATATGTTTATATCTTGATTACCAATGTGGGCTAAATGGGTTTGGAGGTGTTCATTGATAACTACCGAATTCTAGACATTTCAGTTAACTCATCCAGGTTATTTCGAAACTTTTACCAATCACCTTCATTTTTATATACAAATTATAACATCGTCAAAATATAACTAAACCAATGATAACAGAGGACTTGGATGGTTATTTACACACAGGATGAACGACATTGCCCTCCCCAAACTGTGCCCTGAGGTATTTCGTCAAACACAGTTTCGTAGCTAGACAACTTCAAATTCAATCTTACCATTTGTTGACCGTCAGCTAGGAAGTCCTTTATCCACATAAATAAGCTTCCTTCAATTCCGATAACATTTCACGTGAATAATAACCTATTATGAGGAATTTTGTCAAAAGCCTTAATGAAGTAAATGTAGGCTACATATATAAACAACTTTTGATCTTTAAGAGCTCATGAACTTTAATGGGCTACTAATAAGTTTGTGGGATATGATAAGCATGTTATAAAGCTGTGCTGATTTTAAGAAAGGGTCCGGTTTTTATTTTGATACATAAACAACTTCGAATAATCTTTTCAAAAAATTGTAACAACCAGGCTTGTGAGGCTTACTGGTTGATAGTCCTCAGATTTGATTTTCGTACTTGGTTTGAGATGTGACTTACATTGATATTCTTTCTGTCCTTTGGTGACACTTCCAGACATGCTGAAACATATGCTTGGAGGATTTGTAATAAAATTGACTAGTTCCTTTAGTGAACAAGGATTCATTTTATCGTGTTCACTAGAGGTTGACGCAGTGAACCCTAAAGCTACCGACCTGTGGCTCTTCTATCCATACCTTCAAAAATTATGGAGTCCCTAATATACGACGGTATACATCAATGATTATCATCCCTACAGTTCTTCTCAGCCCAACAGCATGGTTTCAGAAAGGGTCATTCTTGTATGACCAGCCTGGTTAGATGGACAACTACCCTTGATCGCAAGGGGAAGGTCGAGGTCATTTACCTTGATTTCTCAGGAGCTTTTGATGGGGTCAACCATATATGTCTTATCAATAAGCTTAAACGATTGAGTATCAAACTCCCTTGGATTGACTGGCTCGCTTCATATCCAAAACCAACATTTTAAGGTCAGGGTTAATTTCACTTTCTCTCAGGCTATGGAATGTCCTAGTGGTATCCCCCAGGGCTCAATACTAGGACCTCTTCTCTTCTTGATTTATATTAATGATCTTCCTCAACAAGTTTCATCTGACTTATTGATTTTTGCTGATGATGTGAGCTTTGGAGAGAGATATACTAGTACTTCAGGAGGATCTGACTCGAATTCAAAGTTGGACAGACGACAACGGACTTACCTTAAACACTTCAAAGTGCAAAGTAGTCCATCTGCGACATGTTGCAGACTATAGTTAAAACTTAGGTAGCTCCTCTCTAGAAGTTTCTCAAGTCAAAAAAGATTTAGGAGTGTTGGTACCCTACGACCTGCAGTCGTATGCGATCTGTGACAAAAACGCCTTTCAAGAAAAACTTTAAGCTATTAACACTGGAGCTCATTTTTGGCCGGTTTGACAGTAGAACTTTCCACATAATCTTCAACACTTTTATTCGTCCTCATTTGGAGTACGAAAGCATAGTATTTCCTCCCTCCCTCATAAAGGATAAGGACACACTGAAACGCATCCAACGTCGAGCCACGAAATTAGTTCGGGGACTACAATTCAAACCTTACGAAGAGCGCCTCCAATCACTTAATCTTTACCCGTTAGAGTACAGACGTCTTAATGGTGACCTTCTTATGACTTACAGTATCCTTAAAACTTCTAGTCATCCCCTTAAACATCTAACACAAAGGCTAACACCCAGAAGCTGGAGACCCAACATAGCAAAACAGACAGTAGGCACAACTTCTACTCCGTAAGAATTGTCAAATGCTGGAATTCGCTGCCGAATGAGGTAGTCTAAGCGACTTCTCAGGAGTCCTTTAAGAGAAAACTTTACCTATTCTGAAGGACCAAGGGTAACATATTTTTATGATTTACTAATTCCTTATTTTCGTCTATTATCGTTAATATACCTAGGTTCTTGCCTGGAGGTATTGGTGATCCACTGCTACTGGATACGTAAGCCCGTTAAGCGAAAGCTTCTTCTATTCTGTCCTCAACCATTTGAACCATTTGAATGGCTTTATTTGTATCAAACTTATTTAGCAGATCGAAGAGTTTATCTGTACATTTAGTTCCGATTGCTTGTTGGAAGTGCTCTGGGAATTTGCTAAGCAGATCCATTCAAGTGATGTTGTACTGTACCAAAATAGGTTTCGGTATTATTTTCTGTTGAAGTCATGCACTCAAACCATAATCTTCCATGGTCCTGAGTCACAAACTGGGTGAACAAGCCATAGTCGCCAATACACACTCAGAGGAACAACAATATTGATTTAATCAAGCCCTCAACCTTCCGAATTTCGAAACAACGTCTGAATGTATATAAAAAATGGCTTCGTTTTTTCATTGGACATTGAAACCCAGACTTGTTTAAGCAACCGCGGTTCGCGTGCACATTTGGTTGCTTGTAACGCGATCACCATGCCGGTTAGTTGTGTGTCGTGGTTTACTGTTTTGCTATCGTTTCCTCAGTAATATATACATTGTGCTACTTATAATTAACATAAATTTCGTTTAACAGCTCGCTCGTGACCTGTTACATCCGTCTTTTCGAGAGGAGAAGCGAAAGTGCAAATTGAAACGTTTGGTTCCCTCACCAAATTCCTTTTTCATGGATGTTAAGTGTTCAGGTAAGTCCATGCAGATCCGTTTCAGACTTGTAGGCTGCCTAAAAATCCAGATTGTTTTCAGTCATGCACAGACAGCTGTAGTTTGTCCTGGATGTGACCGAATTCTATGTCAGCCCACTGGTGGTAGAGCACGGCTGGCTGATGGTAAATTAATTTTCTTTATCACCTTAATTTTTGTGTTTACAGGATGCAGTTACCGCAAGAAGGCGAAATGATTTTCTTGTAAATTCCGATTGTTATAATAAACTTATGGAAACAATTTATTTCTAACGGTTCTCGTACCTATTACTAGTACAGCTTTATCCTGAGCTGGTCACGATAAGACGAACTGTACGTCAGTGTTAGTTGCTTGTCCACACCATCCATGATCATTAAGCAAGTTCGTAAGGCTGGTTATGTCCATGAACTACCAATTAACAGTTCCTCCGCGTCCCGCAAAACATGTAAACATGTGTCCTAACTGAAGAGTCAATGTACTTCTCCGTGTATTTAATGAGTAGCTAATCGTGTTCAAGTGTATCAGTTGTCTGTTGGTTCTGTTAAACATGTATCTCCCTAAATTTAAGCCTTGATTACGGTATGCTTTTGATATCTGTAGTTATGTAATTCTCCGGGACATCATTTACATTTTGCCGTCACTCCGCTTCTCTAGTGCTAGAGTCCCCAATAATTTACGTGGTTTTAATTTAGCTCTTGTTCAAGGTAACTTTGTTTCAGATAGTTGGTGATATTTTTTAGTGAATATGGTAATCTAGTTGTAAGTGTTTTTATTCTCCCGTCAGGTGGTAAAGAAGAATCCAACTTTATTTCAATTTGAGTACCTGGAGTTATAATTGAGGTCGTTAAGAAAAGCTCAAAGTCGATTGTATGTATGTATCTATTCTTAATAAATTAGTAACACCTATTCAGCGTTTATCATTGTATAGTTGCACTGAACCTCTACACAATGTGGCTTGAGTAACACCGTGTCTGGTTTGTGAGTGAAAGTGAGGAATCTCCACACTCGTGAGAACGTGTATTGTATTTTACTACCTCTATCTGGAAACGGTTCTTTTCGTAGACATGGACTGGGATTTTGCCTTATATATTAATTGGACTGATATTATATACAATCTAGTTAGTCTACAAACGTATGTGCTAAAACATTGAATGTATTTTACTCCATACGAACAGCCGTTTCATCTCAATTCAGTAACTACTTGCTATTCATCCTTCGGTCCAACTTATTTGTCTTTGATACATCTGGTTGTTTTGCCTCAGTAATTATTAAATCAGTCTACTCATCAATTTAGAGGGCTTTCATCCTAATCCTGGATTGTGTCGCTACCAAGGCTTGACTTGGTAATTGCAAATAAATTGAGCACGGGGTGTACATTTTATTATAATTAAATAATATGTCTGCAATATCTCTTTTGATTTACAAATATTGTATGATCATAATTTCACATTGTTTATTTGTCATCATAAGTAGTCATGTGCACTAAATCAGAACTATTAATTGAACCTTATTTGAGTATAGCTTTACTAAATAAGTAAATCATACGACTCAGCAGTGATGGATTGATGTTTTTGTCAGTTTGATTTTCAACATTTTGGAAATAATTATTCTCCGATTAACCTTGGCAGTATTGTTGTTTAGTCAATGAATATGTTAGTTCGCGCTGCTATTCTACGTCACATTAGGGGAATAATCTTTATAGCCCAAGGGCAACATGCTTTCCGTGCTAGTCACTCATATATTGGTTGTTATCCAAGATATAAGTATTACAATAGGTATGAATTTTATAGATTTCGGTTATATATGCCACCTAGGCCTTAAAGCAGCACTGGAGAACCCCGCAAGTTAAGAATTATATTCAGGACTTTCTGGGTTGTAGGTGACAGTACTTTGTCCTCATGAGAAGACTGGAGTTCCCTGGGAGACAATGCTTAACCCTCTTTTTATTTCATGTAGGTAATTTACCTGGCGAGCGAAAGTCATCTGTCTTATTGCTTGCAGATAGCATTGAAGTACGAAGACCCGTATGTAATCATGGTGATAAAGTAGGATTTATATGTTTAGGAAACTGGACACATGTTCAACTAGGGGGAATGTTGAGATTTTAGATATGGTGAATATAAAAACACCAGAGAACCTACATAAGTCTGACGTTCAGGTTAATCACTGGTAAATAAACATCGACAACAACGAAATTTACGAACCGATTTGAAAAATTCTAGATAAATTTAAGATTAAGTATCAGGTCAAGGGTGGGTACAACCGAAATGAACGTGAACACAATCGCAGGACAAAGGTTAACGATAAGCAATCGATAGGATAAACTGTCAGTCATACGTGGACAAATCTGGATAATTCACTGCTTTTGCTAATTATATTGTCTAGAATGATAATGGTAGCTTCAAGGTAAAAACTTTTGGCTTGTCGCAACAAAACCACAGAATTCATCCATATGAATCGAAAATCTACTGCACTACCTCAGAATCATCATTTAAAGAGTGAATGTGCTTTGAATTCTTGATTACTGTTTCCATTGTGTGAACACCGAGTGAGAGTGGAATGAAAACATGTATCTTCACATGTTTTAGGCTTCAGTATTCGCTACTATACTGTTATAAGTGATTGAGTCTGTCCATTGTCTAGCAATAGGTATTCTGCATGCTCATCAGGTTTTTTCTGGTGAAAATAACTTCCTGGCTTTGTAATAGGGCTTTTACACTAACCCGTAATTAAGTAGTTTCAAACATGAATATTTGCAATTTACGGTCTTCATTAGGAAATATTATAATCAATCGACCCCCAAATCCCTAAATATAATACCAGGTAGCGCGTATTTCTTATGTGACTATGTATAATTGTGCGTAAGTAACTATACATCTTAACTGATTTGTCAGTATGCAAAAACTCCCGACTAACAGGTGAATTAAGTGCACTTATTTTTTCAGTAATTAGTTTACCTACTTATAGTTTATGAGTAGTCCGTAAGTATGAGACTAGAAACTTTAATTCTCACACCAGTACGTTACTTGCTTTCGGTAGCTGTCTTCAAACTCCGTATTGTTTTGTCAGCCATTCGAAAAAGAACTGGTACCTTTATGCATTGAGTGGTTATCTAACTTCCAAATTTCCACTTTATGCAGGTTAGTCTTTACCAAGATATCAGAGTTCGTTTTTGTAAAGGTTTCTCCTCTGTACATAACACTTTTTAGGTCCGTTTTCAACTTCCGTAGTCATAAATCTTATCGTAATTGGCCTTCATAAGCTTTTTTGTGTAATAACTACCATCACGTTTCTAAGGTGGCGTTCAAGAAGCTAACTGAGTTATTGTAAGCTGAATCACTTCGGATAATTATCAAAGACAGCTGGTAGTTTTCAAAAGTAATCCGTTAAGTGTAAACACTGGTTAGAATTACGCTTTCCCAAATCATATACCTGCACTTTATTGGGGGTATAGCGAGACATGATGCATATCGTTCTGTTAACAACGCTGCTCGGTAGTACACAAATTAAATCTCAATCGTTCTTTTAAGTTCCCAAGCTACACAAAAGATGGGTTTATCATCGGTTTTTGAGAGTGAGGATTATTTACCTTATAAAGCTCACTTCGTTAAAACTACTTCGTAGAAGTTTAAATACCAATGTATATCAATTATTCAAGGGTCTGTATCTTTTTGTTGGCTTTAAGAACTGCAATACCCAAATGACTCGACATATAAGCTCCCTGAGCAGACTTGATTGATCTCATCACAAAATTTTAACGCATTATTCATTAAGCTCTTGAGTTCAAATACCCATAGCAATATCGAGGCAATCCACTCAGGATACACATATAACAAAAACCCACTAACCGATTTTAGTTGGAAACCACAACAATAGGATAACTCACACCACTATATTATAGTGTTGGACGAGCCAGTAGCTATCTGCATTCAGTAGAGCAATGGATCATGAATTGGACATTCAAAACGAAATGTTGTCGTTTCAAATCTCGTTGTGAACACTCTCACGAGTGTACAGGTGCATCCAGATGACGAACCCCAGAAGAAAATGAAATTCACGTTCCTGATGACACTACTGGCCGCTATCCAACTTTACTTGAATGATAATCTGTATTGTCTACGTTTCTTACTACGAAATAATTACATTTGAAAATAATTTTAATCTGATGATTTTTATATATACTTGAAATCATGAATCAATTGAAACTAGACCACCGTAGAAAACCTGGAAGCACTGGACGGCCGTTTCATCCTATTGTGGGGTTCCTCAGGTTATATTAAACAAACACAATAGTCTTATGCGTTGGTAATAATAAAAATGTCAATTGAATAAACATAATATGGTATCATCTGAAGAAAAATAACTTGGTTAGATCGAGTGAACTGTAAAATGATCAGTCATTTTTCACCATAACTAATCACGCTACTTAAGTGTGTAACTTAGTACACAAAACATAAATCGAAATGTATTGTCAAGGTTTTTGAATTACAGTTCAATTGATAGTACTATGTAAATACTACTTTACCGCTATTAAATGTAATAGTCAAATCTGTTGCAGAATATGGGAATCATGTTAGACATAAAATTATGCCATGAGCACATTTCACACCAATTAACATCATCAGATCAAAAATATATATAAAGGGGTTCTTAATTTTTAATGACTGATCTCAGGCCTGAATTTACATCCTGTATGACCACAAAATCTCAGTCACATTTTGACTGAACTGCTGATATCCAACTGGCGATCACTGAATGTTTATCATCAGGAGCAACGAAGAAATAAGAAACTTAAACATGTTGAAATACTTAATGCTGAGAATTCGATTTTGTACCAAATAATATAATATTGAATCAAGCTAATAATAATAATAAGATGAAATGGCTATACATTGTTACTGGTTTTCAATGGTACAAAAGCTGAAATCAAGCCCCTAACCAACATCAACTACAAATTATATACTATAAGTTTTATTTCCACGATGTTGTTTGTGACAAGACTTGTTGGATGTAATTACATAGAATTACATGTTTTCCCAGTCGTTAGTCGACTGAGTTAAAAAGTTGTGTAGGTGTCAAAAACAAATTGTATAATTCAGTGTTGGCCTTATAAAATGTATTTGATTCAGACGTTGACTTTGGGTTCTGTAGAAATTCCTTAGAAAAAAGATTTGTTCCATATTTAAAAATAAGAGAAAATAGTGACAGAGTAATCTGATTTTTACTGAGTTTCAAAGTTAATGATGGAATGATATACTAACAAATTTATAAAAGTGTGGATATTACATCACGTTTTTAGATTTTGTTAAGTGCTGAAAATTAATCTTAGTTAGATAAGTGAATGAGAACTAAGCGTCAAAGACGTTTATATTGCTTCTCAGTGTTATCGCCCATTTGAAAATTCAGACAGCTTTTTTTCTTAGCTGTAATTGTGCTGTCACTAAAACCCACTTACATCATAGTCTATTTGGAATAACAAAAATTAACAAAAACCAATATTTTAGTAAAATTGGTGACAAACAATAGAGTCCAGAACGTGTGTTTTACTCCATTTAGGACTTGCCAGCAGGATATACTTTTATTCTAGTATTAATTTTTACATGGTGACTCGAACACATTGTCTTTGTTATTCACGCAAATACTGAGCCATTGGCTTCTCAAATGGTAATGAATTAAATTTGGAAGGGTCAGAATTATCCATTGCAAATATTTTTGACTAAAATCGATCAGTCACTTTCTGGTATCTGGATGGAGTACCTCGAGATCCCCAAGAATTCATAAATATTTTATCAAAATTGTATGATCGTTAACAGTGGAATTAAAGAAGCTCATTTCGCCTTATTTTGTGTTCTTCAGTTCGATGTACCAACAGCCTAGTGTTGAAATTCATATAAATGCTGTGAATCTGTAAAAAATATCCTACTTTATTTTAAGCTATTTTAACTAACAGATATATATAATTCATAGTTAAATAGAGGAGCATGAAATCAGTTAAATATATGGAAGTCGTTTTTCTACATTATTAAGGTGATTTAACTAACCACCTGACCTTCTTTAAATCCATGATCATCAGTAATGATCCTATATCATTTTTAACCAAAATAACCCAGCGGTTCAAAATTCTATAGTTATGTTAAATGCTTTCAATGCTTTGCGTTGTGATGAAAATAATAACGTTAGAACTCCATCTTTCATTGATCTTTTTCACAGTAATCTTTGTCTTTATCTTTCCCAGGCAATATTCACTCATTCCTTAGTTAAGTTGCCAGATAATACTTGTTTTGTTGCAGATGAATATGAAACTATAGAATTGTGATTGATTTCACGAAGTACTAGTCTTTTCAAGTAGCCAATCGTTATCTTAGTGATTTCAATAATTTCAACATTCTATCATGAAATAATCTAAGCAACTATTCAGTTGTAAAACTAACTTGAACGGTTTAAAATAGTAGTTCATAATAGTTCATTTATAACTATATATAATTATCTTGACCTAGTTGTTTTTTAAGAGTAAAAATTAACTACGATTTATACATATTATTTATTACAGTTATGTAGTTACCCACCTAAACATACCAACATTTATCACGGATAGAACTCGGGGATTGAATAATTTACTTCAATGGTTTCACATCGAAACAAAATATTCAACTGATAGCATAGTTACACACGAAATGGGAATAGTTATAAGGAAACAAACAAGAAATTATATATTTACTCACTTCCCACACTTACCTACATTTTTTACCTACTACCTGTCACATGAAGTTAACACAATCAACTCAAACACTTTCAAACTAAATAACAAGAATCAACGGATAAAAATAAAAACTT